TCAGAGGGGAGATGTGACAACAGAAAAGGGGTCAGAGAGATGCATTATTATTGGCTTTGAAGATGTTAGGAGACCATGAACCAAGGAATGTGGAAATTTCCTAGAAGTTAGTAAACACAGGGAAATGGATTCTCCTCCAGATATTCCAGAAAAGGTGTAGCCCTGCCCACACTTTTGTTTTAGCCCAGTGAGACCTATGTTCGACTTCTAACCTACAGAACTGTAAGATAATACATTTGAGATGTTTTAAGCCACTGAACTTGTGGTAATTTGCTATAGCAGCAGTAATACATTGATACACACTCCCTCAATGAAAAAAAAGAGAGTTACTGAGGCATTTCCCTTCTTTGGGCAAGATGATTTTTCTGTTACATTAGATTGTTTCACTAGTTTTGAATGCATTCCAATATAGTTTGTCCCACAATTAGTACTCTACCAAATGTGATAAGAAACAACATATTTGAGATCTTGCTGGCAGAGCTATAAGATTAATAAGATGCCATTATTTGGATCTTTGATACATGCAAGATGGCTTCCTATTGTTTGGAAGTTAGGAGATAGCTTTTCACAAAAGAGTAGAAAGATATCGTTCTGATTTTCGGAATGCAAATAGTCTGATCATTCTCCCCAAAATTGTCATCAATGCTAAAGTATTCTTTGAAGTCTCAGCATAAATGATTTGAAAGGGTGACACATTATTACAATGAGCTTTTTCAAAACAGTGTCAAAGTTTTCATAATTCTCATCAATATTCATCATAACAGAGACCACAAAATGCATTCAGATTTTTTTGGTCTCTTTCAAATGGCAGTGTTTATATACATAAATACAATGAGAAATTAGGGCACCGCACTTTGCAGCAGGCTTTTGGGAAACATTCCACCTCAACAAATAATGAATGTCATAGACCATTTTCAAATATAGCACTCGTTGCTATCTGTTTCGACTAATGTGGCAGTATGCTGGCTGATAAGATACAGATAGGAAAGAGGAGACAATATCAATGGGCAGTAGTTAATTGATTTTTTTCATTTAACATTTTTTAATTGAAAAAAATTAAAAAGAAATAATAAAGCTTCAAAAGAAAATAATAAATGCTTTGGAAGACTCAGGCAACTGTTAAGTGTCAAAGCCAGACTTCAGGACAGCAGTTGAACTATGTGATGGATGAAATTAAACCCGCCACAGATTTGTATTCTTTCAGCAGTCAGCTTGTGCAAAGTTGCTGGTTCCTCCCAGCATTCGTCAAAGCCAGACTTCAGGACAGCAGTTGAACTATGTGATGGATGAAATTAAACCTGCCACAGATTTGTATTCTTTCAGCAGTCAGCTTGTGCAAAGTTGCTGGTTCCTCCCAGCATTGCAGATATGATGGCCATAACTCAGCTCCTATGGTCTGAATTCATATAAACATTATTAAAACGGTTCCTGTACAATGAGCCGAAGAAAGGCAATCAAAATTAACTAAGTAGCAGAGAGTTTGACTGCTGGGATAAAATAATAGTCAAAACAACTTTGCCTCCAGGAACCAGAAATATAGTGGCTTATTTTGGGCAATAGTGTCATTCTGTTTATTATACAGAGATCCCAAAAGCAAAGCAAGGTGTTACCAGGGAGACTGATTATATAGTCTCCTGGGTTGATGGAGTATGAGAACTATGTGCCCAATGTGGAAAGGACTGTGGGGATTATATTTGTTGTCACAACCAATGCCATTCATTGGTCTGGTGGATTAATCATTGTGCCTCATTTAACCATCCTTTTTCAAAACTTATTTTCTGTTTTCTTCTGAATTGACCATTTGTAAAATTAGGTTGGCCAAAGCTGTTTAAGCATCACTCCTAATAGTAGTAGTGCCACCATTAACCTAAAATATTTTTTAAGGTTTAATTATTTTCTTAATTGTATAAGTAGTGCATAATCATTGTAGAAAAATGAGAAAACACAGAAATACAGATTTTTTTAAAAAGTCCCATTACCAAGTATAACCATTGTTAATGTGTACGGGATAACCATCCAGATATTTTCCAACACAAATATACATACAAACATACTTCAGCAAAAATAGTATCATAACACACACAATGTTTTACACATGCTTCTTTTTTACCCATAATTAATTATATTTAATATTGCTTGTCTTTCCCCTTTTAGTTACTAGCATTTAAACTTTTAACATGAACAGAATAATTATTTGCTTTTAAAATAACTTTAGTTATTCCTTTTTTATTATTTTCTCATTGGAAAGGGAATAATTACACATAGTTTAAAAAAAGAGAGAAAGAGAGAAATCCAAGTAGATTGGATTATCTCAGATCCCCAGTCCTCTATCCTTCATCAAGAAGCACACAGTATTAATAGTGTATTCTGCATTCTCCCAGAATTTTTCTGTGTATATACACACATATTGACATGCGCATGTCCCTTTTTATTGTTTACACAAATGAGAACAGACATTATATTGCATTTGCCATTTTTACTTGACCTCAGATCCCAGATTGATCCATACTGGCATATGTAATCTGCCTCATTTTTTTCTTTTTTTTTCACTTTTATTTTAACATTTATTTTAACATTTACTTGTATGTATTTTGGGGATACAGTGTGTTGTTTCAATACATGCATATACATTGATTCACTTAGGGTAGATAGTATAGCTTTGTTCCTGTTAATCCACCACTTCTCCTCCCCTCTCAGCCTCTGGTAATAACCTGCTTGTTTCACTAAGTACTACGTTAGCCATGTAGGACTTCAGTTTTAATGACCACATATTCTCTTGTATGAATTTCCCATAATTTCTTTAATCAATGCTAGGTTGACATTTAGGTGTGGTATGTAATTTTTATTACAAATTGTATTATGATGAACACATTAGTACATGTATATCACATATTTGTCTAATTCTTTAAGTTTTAGAAGCTTAATTACTAGGTTACAAGTCATGCAGTTTTCTAGAAATTTTGATGCCTAGCTGTAGTTTCATCTTTAAATGGGAAGGAAAGATAAACATCATTCAGAAGCCTTAAATTAATAAGTTACATAAAATCTGAAATGCTAAATAAAAACATGAGTAGAAGTAAGTTTAATTTGGGTCTGTTTGATAAACCATTTATACATAAGTACATACATACACAAAGTTATGGGTTTAAGTGGGAGTCATTAAGTTGACAGACCAGCAATTTTCTTAAAAAAGACATGGATATTAAAATATTGTCTTATTTTATTAATCATTCTTAGAAATTAAAAAAATAATAATAGCTATATTGAGATATAATTCACATATCATACGATTCACATTCTCAAAGTGTACAATTAAGTGAGTTTTTTATATTCACAGAATAGTGCAACTGTCTGCGCTGTCTAACTTCAGAGCACTTCTATTACCTTCAAAAAGAAACAATGTACACATTAACAGTTACTGCTCAGTCCCCTGCTCCCAGCCCAGGGCAAACATTAATCTACTCTATGTCTCTATGTATTTGCCTATTCTTGACATTTCATACAAATGGAATTATACAATATGTGGCCTTTTGTCTTCAAAAAGAAACAATGTACACATTAACAGTTACTGCTCAGTCCCCTGCTCCCAGCCCAGGGCAAACATTAATCTACTCTATGTCTTTATGTATTTGCCTATTCTTGACATTTCATACAAATGGAATTATACAATATGTGGCCTTTTGTGACTGGCTTCTTTCATTCAGCATAAGATTTTCAAAGTTCATTCATGTTGTAGCATGTATTGATACTTCATTCCATTTCATTGCCAAATTATACTCCACTATATGGATATACCACATTTTGTTTATCCATTCATCAGTTCATTCTTTGGATGTTAACTAAAATCTTATCATCATCATGCTTAAAATCCTTCAGTAGCTCCTCAAACTTTTAAGAAGGTTGATTAAAGTCCCATCTTGATCTGGCCCTTGCCTACATTTTGGCGTGATCTTCTGCCACACTCCCAACTCCATCCATCCCACCCTTCCATCAGCATTCCAGTCATTATAGAACTACATGCCATTTCCCAAATGTGACAGGCACTCTCACTCTTGTATGTGCTATTCTTTCTATCTGCAATATCCTCCTCTCCTTATCTGTGTGGATGTCTTTTACTTGTCCTTTGTGATCCAGCTGTCAGGTGTCTCCTCCTCCTTGAAGCCCTGATGCACCAAATATAAACCGGATGCAATATTTTTTACAATCTGTTATACCTCTGTCATAATACTTCTCAAGCTGATTTGTAATTGTTGGTTTTCTTGACTTCTCCACTAGATTGTGGGCTCACTGAAGTCAGAAATCATATCCTGTATATCTGTCTATCACTAGCAATGAAGGCCCAGCATTTGATAGACACTCAATAAATGCTTGTTTTATATATATGATCAACAAAATTAATTTGACTTTTATTATAAACTAATCAATTTAGGATTTTATAACTATGTAGACATAAACTATTTAAAATACGTTTGATTTTTCTTATGTTTAATTTGTTCACATACATTTTATATTAAAATTCTCAGTAACATACAAAGTAATACTCATTAAAATAAACCAGTATGTATATAAAATCCTATAAGGCTTTTCAAGTGTACAGTGAATTTATAACCTATCAAATCGGACACATTTAATGTAGAATAAAAATAAAAATTCAAAATTTACACCAAAAAAATGGTTCTATCATATTTCAGATATTTTACAAAACAAATTATTAAGAATATGCCAGGAGATCAATTACATAATTACACTTCAAAAACAAGATGAGGTTTTTTTGGGTTTTTTTGTTTTGTTTTGTTTTTTTTGCAAGTGAACATGTTACTTTACTTAAGTGTGGCTTGGTGAATGTTGCCTTGCTTAGAATTCTATAACAATCTTTGAAGCTTACAAGTAAAAACTATTTTTTAAAATGTTTTCACTGTTTTCTGTGTGAATGAAAATGTGTTTAATTAGGCCTAGTTGTTGCTAATAGAATCCTAACCTCTGTTACTTCTGACTTATAGGGTATCTTTGTTACTAGGGTTCAGCCTGATGGGCCAGCATCCAACCTACTACAGCCTGGTGATAAGATCCTTCAGGTAAGACAGACAAAAGCAATGCATGCAAATGCCAACAATAAAACAAGTATGTAACCATGTTATTAAGTTAAATGACTTGAATTAAATGATTGAAATAAGTCTTTCTTACATTTCTTGTTTGCCTGTATTGTTTTGGGATTGAGAGGAAAGTGAAAAACAATTCAGTGTGATAGAATCCTGTACCCCTAGTACCTTACACAGTACCTGCTGCATGGTAGGTGTTCTGAATATTACTGTTAAATTGAATGGAATTACTTGGTAATATAAGAAGAATTGAGATATATATATAAGAATCTAGGAATAGTTATCAAGTAAAAGTAAGAGAAATGAAGTACCCAAATAGGTTATCTGTGTGACTTCTGAGGAAGGAGAAGAGTTGGTTCATAGTTAATTTCTCAACTGTAAGTTCATTACTCTTTGAATTCTATGAAACACATGGTAATATCTCTCTACTCCCCCTTCCCAGGTGAACAAAAGTTTAGTTGTATATAAGATGACTTTTAAAAATTTATTGTCTGGTAGAAAAAGACTTTCTCTAACTTAATGCTCTGCATATCAGAAAAGGGTCATCCACTAAACAGCTAGGCAAAGTCTTGACATAACCTTATCCATTTTGCTTTCTTTTTCCTTCTCTCTGAATTAGCTTGCTACATAAGAAGTACTAATCATTTACTACATTGCAAGAAAAGGCTCTTAAGTATTGTCAATGTATTTAAGATTCAGTATTTTGACTTATGACCCAGAAATTTCCCACTATATAAATAGATGGAACTACCTGAAATTGCTGATATTTGACTATTTGTAACAGTTATGAAATGATTCAACATAATATATTAAAGATTTAGGGGCATTGAGAAGACAGACATGTGGGAAAGAAACCTTAGTCAAATCAGCTATACAAAGAGTTATAAGAAAGCAAGAACCCCTTCAACTCTGCTTTGAGGAGATCTTCTACCTCCTATTTACTGAACTCTCTCAGAAAGTCCTAGAAAAGTAGAAATCCTTTAGAGCCATATACATATATATATATATGTAAACACACACATATATGGCTGTGTGTGTGTGTGTGTGTATACACACACACACACGCACACCTATCAAGATTGCTTTAACATTTTATTCTCAGAATTTTTTTTTTTTTTAAGATGACCGGTAAGGGGATCTTAACCCTTGACGTGGTGTTCTCAGCACCATGCTCACCCATTGAGCTATCCCTATATGGGATCCGAACCCATGGCACCACACTCTCCCGAGTGAGCCACGGGCTGGCCCCCCTCAAAAATGTTTTTAACTAGCAAGATTATAATTAGCTACTCAAGTTTTCAAAAATAATAGAGCTGTGAAAAGGCTGTGGGCTGCTCCAACCTGTGGCAATGTCACTGCGGAAATACCATCCAGCAAGCCAGAGTCCATTTAATGCAGGTAGAAGAGGAAGACAGCAGTTGGTCTTTTGAGTTAGAACATTGAAACAAAAAAGACATAAAATAATCCAAAATATTTTTGCCACTTTATTATGGAAGTTCTATGTTTCTGGATAGCCTAACTAGTCCTGTCATCTCAAGCATTTTACATCCTGTCTATTGGCTCCAGATTTGCTAAGTGTAAAATGAACTGTAGATTATATATCTGAGGTCCTTCTCAGATCAAAAATTCAATTGTTTGATAATTTTATAAATTGCTGTGAAAGACAATCAAGAATAAACTAAAAATGTAGCTCCCTAAACTTGCTAAATGCTTCTTATTAGCAAAGGAAATGGCTAGTTTTTAGGGTTTTTTTCTCTCTACTTAATTTCAAAGAAATTACTTAGAATCTCAGAATCTGAAAAAAAAAATGTAGCCAGCTAATCTCAGATCTCTGACCTATTGGAATGCTAGGCCGGGTAGAGATGCATTCTATAGTTTGAGACAGGTTGGGGAGTTTCCTTCATCCATGACAGAGTGGCAAAAGAAATATTTTTCACTTCTGCTCAGATTTAGAAAAGAAATGAATGCATATGCATCATAACAAAATCGTATATATCCTGCAGAAGGGAAAATAAGAAGTTAGCGTCTACCTGCAGGCTTAGAATGCTCTTTTCCGGCTGTGAAATCCTCAAAGGGTTGTATGTGGGGATGTGAGTTTAGTATTTCTAATCCCTGGGAGGTATACAGCAAGAGCAAAGTGCACAGAGGAATGAATTGCTAATGCAAGAAGTACGAAGAAGGAAATATGAGTCCAATAAGTTAAAAGCCAAGAATACTGCAGAAGAGCTGCACCTGGGAAGTCTCCTCTCCACAAATGACTACTGAGGATGTAACATTTTATTTTTGCTATAGAACTTATTTGTATCTAGTACAATAAAATCAAAGACCATCTTCAGTAAAAGAAAAAACCACATAGACCTTAATCAAATAAATTACTGTATTTAAGTTTCATTCATGCTAGTTTAAAGGCACAAGTGGGCAATTATACTTACTGAAAGAAATAAAAATGGCTACTTCTGAACTGAAATTGCTGCCAGTGTCAGATGCTAAGAGGGCAAACTATATTTTTGTCTCTCTATACTATTCATTCTTAGTTTACAGAATGTTGGAAAAAAATGGCTTAATAACATTGACTTCTCTATCACTTACAAGATCAGTATCATGTGTTCTTACTGGATCTAATTTATTTACCAAGCTTAATGACAATGTGTAACCTGGAAAATCAAGGTAAAAGGAAGAAAAAGAAAACAATGAATGGGATCCCTAATGATGACAGTTACTGTGTTTGATCTAACTCAACAGCAAATAGCAAACAAGAAATAGCAAAGAAGATATACCTTTCCTAAATCTCCCCCACCTTCCAGAATTTATTTGATAAGATCTTTCTTTTTCTGTAAATATTCTTACCCACCACTCTCTCCTTATTCTGCTATGGTATTATGAGTATGTTATTTGAATTATGTGAAGATGTGTGCATTAAAGGATAGTGTTAATTAAAACATCTCCACATGATTTTTTGTCATTTTACTGTTCATTTTCCCTGAATAGACTACAATTAATCAGCATATTTAAGTGACTTACGGTGCTATTTTGCTTTAAGACAATGTAGTATATGGAAAGAGCAGTGTGCTGGGAGATCTGACTTTTCACATCCTCACTTCTAGTAAAGTTGAATTATATAAAAGAGTGAGAGAAAGAAAAAGCTGAAAGCATGTGGATCACGGTGCTATTTTGCTTTAAGACAATGTAGTATATGGAAAGAGCAGTGTGCTGGGAGATCTGACTTTTCACATCCTCACCTCTAGTAAAGTTGAATTATATAAAAGAGTGAGAGAAAGAAAAAGCTGAAAGCATGTGGATCATTAGTAAAAATGTTATTAGATTGAACCATGTGAATTTGCCAATATTAGACCATTTTTGAAATGGCAATTTCATTAGTTTAACATAGTTTCTTTTTTCTAATGTTCCTTCCAGTGAAAATAATTCATTTTAATTTATTATACATTTTACAATTCAAAATGTATTTGAATACAGAAAATCTACTAATTATATATTATAGTTAGCCTGTTGAAAAGAATAGTAGACTAGAAAAAATAGTATATTCTACTTGATAGTTAACAACATATTCACAGTTGTAGCCTAAAGCTCACTTGTAAGGATGTTGTGCTCTTTTGGAGTAGTCAGCCCCTCTCCCCTTCATTTACCCATCCCCTTGCTCAAATACAGGAGCCAATGACAGACTTTGGCAGAAGGTAAATGAAATAATATATAGAAAATTAGTTAATGAGATCCAGATTTTATCAATCACCAAACAGATTTTTCTAATATGAGACATATAAATATGGTACCCAACTGAAGAAAATTTTATAGTCTCTTCTACCTTACCAGCATTTTAAGAGTTTTGGAATTTATAATCCAAAATATATTCCTGGTCTATGTCTGTATTTCTAAGATATTGAAATAAAATAATCATTCAGTAATTCAAACAGATAGATATTTTCCTTTTTTCCCCCCCTAGTCTTAAAAAGCCTTGGCCCTGCAATTCATATGGACAGTTCGAGAAACCACACTCAAAAAATAAGTCTATCAACAAATACTTGAACATTAGCAGAATTACTATTATTGTAATTTTTTAACTTTTTCTTAGTTAGTTATTGTTAAGTTGTTGGGCTCAGAGCACCATATTTCGGCCACAATCATGGGGTTTGATGCACATTGGGCCTATTATTGCCGCTCTGTTCCATAACATCCTAATTAGTGTCATATACAGGGATGTCATTAAAAGCCACATAATAGGTAAGAGGGAAGTCATGTGCCCTCGGGGGTAAAGCTAAGAAGACAAGATAAACATAAGCAGACACATTAGAAAATTAACAAGGTACTTGATTTTGTGATGTAACTAATAGATGTTGTAGCAGTGATAATATAATGAAGTAATCAATGCAAGAGGGTGTTTCTCGGGATATAGAGATGATGGCCACTCAGAAGCAAAAATGCTGGTTCCTCCTCTTCTTACTTCATACAGTGAATCAGCAAGTGAGTGGGAAAGGCAAGACCCATGTGGCAGGAGCCCAGGGAATCATGGAGATCTCCAGGTGTTGAGGGAATAGAGAAAAGGGAGCCTACTCCTGTGGAGCAGGAGTTCCTCCAGGCTTAAAAGAGAAGAGAAGAAGATGAGTAGGAGGAGCTAGTCTGTGGGCTAGACTGGCATGCATCTTTGGGAGCAGGGGTAAGAGGTGTATGCCAGAAAGGATGAGTATGGAGTACGGAGACAATACCTGTAAGGAAGACCCCAGGTTCATGTGTTAGAGTTGCTAAGAAAGAAAACCCTGGGATTTTAAGAAATTTCTCATGGAGCCAGAGAATTCAAACATGGAGATGGGCTGGAGTGGGGGGTGGGGATGGGAGATACTCATATAGCTTTCAAGGCTCAAAGGTGAGAAGTAAGTTTAGACTCCCCAGAAGTCTAAATGAAATATATGTGGATGGCTGTATCTGTTGTACACAGATGCGAGTAGATAGTGTTATATCTGTAT